GTAAAACTTTATATACAAATTACTTGGTATATACGTTCTGTTACTTTATTTTCTTATTTTGAGATTCTGTTTAATTTGTCCAGTTTTTAAGTGTACGTTTATCGTTATCTATTTCCAGGTTCCAAACGTGTTTCACTCTTTCGATACTGTTTTTTAAATATTCGTTCAGCCAAATATACAGTGTTCCCAGCATACCACCCGACATCTACGATTTTGGAGGATTTTCGGAGTGTGCTCTAGTCTTGAGTAGAACACACGTAGACGGTTATAGTACATCTCCAGCGCTCCCTTTCGGAGGATTTCTGAAGCTTATTAAACCTGGGTAAATTTCATCTCTCCAATAATTCTACAATTCATAAAAAAGTACGAAAAGTGAATTCAAGTTACAATAAAGCTTGAAATTTGTGAAGTTTTGTTACTTCATTGCATTTATTTCAAACAGAACAAGAAAAAATATTTTAGATTTTTTTAAATAATTTCACGCGTCTATTTTTAGTAGACGGCGTTTCAGTTTTATTTGCAAAGTTTTTCATCAGAAGAATATGAACTCCTAATCGTCGTCTCTAAGACTAAGATAGAAGGCAGGAGCAGTCCATATGAGACTTTAAGTATGTCAACTCACTGCTTAAAATTCTCTTTAAAATAAAATATTTTAAATTCTAGTTATGTTTCGTTTTTAGCGCTTTCTTCCTCGAAAAATTGATATTTTATTCCGAAGTAGCTTCATCAACTAAATATATTTCCTACCATAACAGTTCACGTCGTAAGTCTCGTTCCAACCATTAAAGTGTCCCAAACGACCTGAAGAACCCTGGTATTGGACAAAAGGCATCGCTGACACTGAAACATGGTCAATATAGTGTGGTTGTCATATTGTTATAAATGTTTCTTAATTTTTTAAGTTATTTAGATAAAGTTATTTAGATAATTATCTTCTAATTAACTCTTAAAAGAATCGATAGGTAAGTTAATATTTTGGACTTTTACAGTTTCATACATCACAACGGGCCAGTAAAAGAGATTTGTATTCGCTACACAGACGTCAACTTGGCTTTAGCTAAGGCGAAACAACGAATGGGTGAGTGATTTATTTATTTCAATGTAAACGAACATTTTCTTTAATTTGAAGGTAAAATTGTAGAGTTTAAACTTAATCACCCCATGTTTTCACCTCAAATAATTCATTTAATGTTATATTTTTAACTAAAACAGCTAAACAATGCTACAATTAAAGCTATCTAAAAAAGTGTTAACCTGATTTCGGATTTGGCGTTTGATTTCATGGTGTTTCAGAAAAACAGTGCATTGGTTGTTAGGTGCGAAAGATCCCCACATGAAACCTCAACTGCATCATGGGAAATTAACTCTAGTGCTACAGAAACTGTCGAAATTGACGTTATAATTGAATGTCCATAACATCCGAATGTGACGTTATAATTGAATGTCCATAACATCCGAAAGTGACGTTATAATTCTATGTCCATAACATCCGAAAGTGACGTTATAATTCTATGTCCATAACATCCGAACGTGACGTTATAATTCTATGTCCATAACATCCGAAAGTGACGTTATAATTGTATGTCCATAACATCCGAAAGTGACGTTATAATTCTATGTCCATAACATCCGAAAGTGACGTTATAATTGTATGTCCA